AAATTGTATTTTATTTGTGATACTGAAGATTGTCATCTCTTTTAGGAGAGTGTAAGTCTTAGCAAAACTAAACCACCGAGAAAGTATCTTCATTTTTTCCCTTTTATTTTTATAAACATTTTTCTACATGTTTTCTTTTTTTATTTTAGTTTTTTAAAAAGACTTATTTATTTATTTTAGAGAGAGTGAGCTTGAGTTGGGGAGAGGGGCAGAGAGAGAGGGAGAGAGAAGAGAGAGATTCTTGAGCAGGCTCTACGCCCAGCGCAGAGCCCAACATGGGGCTCAGTCGCATAACCCCAAGATCATGGCCTGAGCCGAAACCAAGAGTTGGACACTTAACCAACTGAGCCACCAGGCACCATTGTTTTAATTTTTATTTACTTTTTAAGTAATCTCTACACCTAATTAGGGGCTTGAACTTACAACCCTGAGATCAAGAGTCACATGCTTCACCGACTGAGCCAGCCAGGTGCTCTTGTTTTCTTTTCTTTCTTTCTTTCTTTTTTTTTTTTTTACATTTTCACATAAAAATGAATGATCATTCAGTCGGTAAACATTTAGTAAACAATTACTGCATAAGGACTAAAGGAAAAACAGAATACTAAGACACCATCCATTTAGAACTTGAAATCTGATAGCAGAGATATTTATCTAAATAATTCTATCAGAGTTAAAAGAGAGGTACAAAGAGCTGTGGGGATGCAAAGAATGGGAAGAGTATTTTTAAGTTGGAGACTTCACGGAAGGTTTCCTGGAGAAAGTAGCATTTGGATATAGTGGGATTTCCCACTGTGGGAAAAACAGAGGGATTGTGACATGTGGCGATGAGGGATGGGAAGAATATAGAGTAGCCTTGGCATGAACAAAGATAAGCAGACTAGAAAATGCAGAGCGTGCTTAACCTGGGCAAATAGTATGGTATGCCTAACCACAGGGTATGCCAAGAATGGGAGTGGGGTCTGCAATCACTAGTGGAAAATAAGACTGAGAAAGTAAGTTAGGACTCTGTCAGGGAGGGCCTTGAAAGCCATGGTAAGACATTTCATTCATTTATATATATATAATATATGAAGGTCAGAGTTTCTCCTGCTTTTCTGTTATGCCCTTAATAGAAAGAGGACAGCAAAAACATAGAATTCTGTGGGGGAAGAGGGAGGGATGAATAGCTGGAGCACAGGCGATGTTTAGGGCGGTGAAGCTATTCTGTACGATTTTGTAATGGTGGATACATGACATTATTCATTTGTCAGTACCATAGAATGTACAACACAAAGAACGAACTGAAATGCAAATTATGGATAATAATTATGTATTAATATTGGTTCATCAATTTTGTAACAAGCATAGCACGCTAATGCAAGTGTTAATAATAGGGGAAATGCAAGTTAATAATAGGGGAAATTATGTGTGTTTCAGGGGTCAGGGAAAGGAAGGAGGGGAAAAGGGTATATGGGAACTCTGTACTTCCTGCTCAACTTTTAAGTAAACCTAAAACTGCTTTTAAAAATAAAGTCTAGGGGCGCCTGGGTGGCTCAGTTGGTTAAGCGACTGCCTTCAGCTCAGGTCACGATCCTGGGGTCCCAGGATTGAGTCCCGCATCGGGTTCCCTGCTCAGCAGAGAGTCTGCTTCTCCCTCTGACCCTCCTCCCTCTCATGCTCTCTATCATTCTCTTTCTCTCTCAATAAATAAATAAAAATCTTAAAAAAAATAAAAATAAAGTCTAGGGGGCACCTGGGTGGCTCAGTTGGTTAAGCATCTGACTCTTGATCTTGGCTCCGGTCTTGATCTCACTGTTGTGAGTTCAAGTTCCACGTTGGGCTCCATGCTGGTTGTGGAGCCTGCTTAAAAAAGTAAAATATTAAGTCTAGGGACGCCTGGCTGGCTCAGTCAGTAGAGCGTGTGACTCTTGATCTTGGGGTTATAAGTTTGAGCCCCACATTGGGTGTAGAGATTACTTTAAAAAAATAAAATCTTTAAAAATAAACAAATGAAAATAAAACCTATTTTTTAATAACCACATTTTTTTTTAAGGATTTTATTTATTTGACAGAGAGAGACCCAGCGAGAGAGGGAACACAAGCAGGGGGGAGTGGGAGAGGGAGAAGCAGGCTTCCCACGGTGCAGGGAGCCCGATGTGGGGCTCAATCCCAGGACCCTGGGATCATGACCTGAGCCGAAGGCAGACGCTTAACGACTGAGCCACCCAGGCGCCCAATAACCACATTCTTTTAGATATGAAATATACCACAGGTAACAATTTTTTAGGGAGTTCCATATTATATCTTTAAAATCACATGATTTTTATATTCTCTTTGTTACACACAAATGGCTTTTTTTTAAGATTGATTGATTGATTGATTGATTGATTGATTTAACAGAGAGAGAGAGAGAGAGCACAAGTAAGCAGAGCGGCAGGCAGAGGGAGAGGGAGAAGCATGCTCTCTGCCGAGCAGGGAGCCCGATGCGGGGCTCGATCCCAGGACCCTGGGATCATGACCTGAGCCGAAGGCAGCCGCTTAACTGACTGAGCCACCCAGGCACCCCACAAATGGCTATTTTAGCATTAAAATTTTCCCCAAAATTTGCAATAACGTAAATGACGCCTCAGTGTGTGATTCCTTTGTTACCTTGGTTGACAGGGAATCACTGAAGTCGTATATTAAAAGTGAAACAAAACAAAATTAAACCAGCAAAATGATGAGCAACCAGTTTTTCTTGCCACACACATATTTTTTGCATCCTTATTTTCATTTCCCAATATTCATATGGAGGTTTATCCACTACCTTTAACTTAGGCAAGCTTTATTTTATTTGCAGATGAACTTTGCAACAGGCATAATGAGAAATAGTTGATAAACCCACTTTTGTGGATATTGCAGTCAAGACAAAAGAGGTATATTTTGATATGCAGGTAATTTATACCAAGCAAAGTAGGTAGAGAAATGTAAAATAAGCATGCTGAGGAGATGGGCAGAGTAAGTGGAGGGACCTAGGTGAGTTAGGTTTAGAGGAATTATGAAGCAAAGGGCATAGTCTGATGGGTGCCCCGTCATTAAGAGCACAGATGTTTTTCTGGGTGTCATTGAGACCCAGCATGACCTTTAAGCTATCACCAGTACACATTCCTCTTCTTGTGTGTCGTGTTTATACTGTGACTCAGATAACTTAAAGTTGTTTGGGTACTTATTTGTGTAGATATTCAGACATGTGAACCCAAACAGTGCCTTTTTGAGTCCCTTTGGAACCCCTGAAGTACATTCATAGGACAGTCTCCTTATTTGTGTTTTCAAGGCACTTTGTTTTCCTTATGAAGACCACAACTGGAATTTTTAACCTCATGCCTTTGAGAGTAAATTCCTTAGTTCTCTGCTTGCTGGGAAAAAACAAGAGACCCACTGACAGATACCCCTAGGAGAGTAGCCCTTTCTCCATAAAACTGTTTCTTCAGTGAGAGAATAAGGAGAATATATACAGAGTGGATAAGGTCCTGGGTCAATCTTGAGCTTGAATCCTCTATTTACCAGCTGTTGGACACTAGATAAGTGACTTCACCTCTCTGGTCCTGGCTTATCTATAAAGTGGGGAGAAGATCTTGGGTTACCTGGGATAAGAATGTGTCTGGTGTGTGTGAGGTACTTCAGTAAATACTATTTTGCTTCCCCCCTTCCTGCCTGTTCTGCTAAACTTTCAGAGCCACCTCATCATTCATTCGGTATTTCATATGAGCACCTACTATGAGCCAAGCCCATTGCTAGGTGATAGGGAAATGACTAGAAATAAGACACATCAGCCTATGATTTCAGGAGCCTCTAGCGGTTTATGAGCAATTCATTTCTTTGTCTCCAATATCAGCAGTCCCGAATTCACACAGCCCTTCACTAGTGTTTTTGACCCAAGAGTTACCATTTAAAATACTCAGTGACTGCTTTTTTGGTACCACTTTGAAGAGTGAACTGGTTTCAGGAGAACCAAGGACCCATAAGGCACCGCGTGGGTTCACATGTCTGAATATCTACACCAATAAGTACCCACAGAGGTTCCTAGTGCATAAAGGTCTGAAGTCCAAACCCTCTGGTGGCTCACACGTCCACATTAGATAGTCAAACTAAAATCCCTCCGGGTTTTATTTCACTTACTGTGACCACAAATCATATTCTGAGAAATACACGTGGCTTGTACCATCCTAAGTAGGCAGTGCATGAAACTAGTTATATTGTGGCCTTAAAATCCATACAAGTGTTTTTACCTTTGTCTTTTATATGTTTTCTTGTTTCCATTTTTGTTTTGTTGTGGTTTTGGTTTGAGGGTGGTTTAAAATTAATGCTGTGTTAGATTGTCATTTCGACATTCTCTTGTTCATGATCAGATATGTTTCCATGATCTCTAATCTTTCCATTCTCAATATGGAGAACACATTCTCCTTTTTAAAAAGGGAAACTGCATGCACAGAAAAGATAAATATTTGAGGAGGTTTTCATAGAGGGATCTTCCCTTCTTAAAAAGATTCATTTTTGTATTACTTATTCTTATAATGCAGTTGAAGAATATTTTCTGTCACACAAAACCATTATAAACACAAATGGGGGAGCATAATTTTTATCCTAAAGAGAAAAATAATTTAGCATCTCTAATTCCAAGGAAGTAAAATTGTCCCAGAACTTTATGCTCTTTAAAAATCATTAACAGACCTGATTTGATGATCTTCTTTAGGAGATCATGAGAGCAGGGCTGTTCGCAAGACATTCCCTTGGGTACACGGACCACATCGATACTATTATAGGGTTCTCTGCTGTGATATCCAGGTAAGGGGTGGCTTCCTTCCTTAAGTAAAACAACCTGGACAGCACTCAGAAGGTGGTTGTGTTTTCCTCTCTCATTGTGATAATCTAGATGAGAGCACAGTACCAAAGACCCTTTCAGTTCCCTTCCTGTGAATCTTTAGAAGATTGCTCTGCTTTCCAGAACTAACTCCACAGCTTTTCTTTTTTTTCCATTTCAGAAATTACCATGGTTGACACCGAGATGCCATTTTGGCCCACCAACTTTGGAATCAGCTCCGTGGATCTCTCTGTAATGGATGATCACTCCCATTCTTTTGACATCAAGCCCTTCACCACTGTGGATTTCTCCAGCATTTCCACTCCACACTATGAAGACATTCCATTCGCGAGAGCGGACCCAATGGTTGCCGATTATAAGTATGACCTGAAGCTCCAAGAGTACCAAAGTATGATATTTTCACTTTTCAGACTGCTAAGACTAGAATTGGACTAACCTCTCAATAACACTGGAATAAATGCTCCAGAGACTAAAATTCTATAAAAAAGATACTTACCATTCATTTACTCATCTATTTACCTATGAAACATTATGTATTTATGATATACCAAAAAGGATGGTAGTGTGTAAATATCCCAGATCATTCTTTCCTTTTTTTCCCTCCTTTCTTCCCTCTTCCTTTCCCTATTTCTTGTTTCTTTCCTTCTTAGGAGCATTTTCTAGCATGGCTGCATTGCCAGGTTTATCTCAGGCTAAGTAAGAGTCTATCACCCAAACTCTTAAATTCTTTTGGCCGCTTCTAAGTTAATAAGCAATAGTTTGCTACCTTATATAACTTCTCATCACCAAATTGCAAAGTTGTGGTCCATTTCTCCTAGTTCTGCAATTTGAGCAGCTTATACTGAAACCTATTTTTCTGCACAAATTTCAATTTTGCCATTGTAGTCTATTGATAAATCTTCCTGCCATTAAGTAAATTCACATAAAAAACATCATACTCCAACATCTACAAACCAAAACGGCACTTTTCAAGATAAAATAAATTTCTATGATGCTATTTCCTTGATTTTTATCTTTGCGTGCTGATATGCTGGTTTTCCAAAGCCACCACCATGTAATTGGCAACCATTACTTGACAATAAGTAAGAACTTCCTGTATTTCTAGTGTTTTTTTTTGAGATAAATAGTATACTTGGTTATTTTTGTGTGGTTTTCGGTTAGAGCCTAATATGGAAATTTAATAGGCCTGATCCTAACCAGCAGAAGGGTAGTACTTACTCTCCAAGGGTTCTCTCACTCTCTATCAAAGATTATTTTACAAACCACCTTTTCTGACTCAACACTGGTGAAAACCTGGTCTCTTGTTTTTCATGTACCTTCAAGCTGGGCATGGCATTACCTTTTCACAGCAGTCTTCCTTCTGTTTCTTTTCCAAGAGTGGTTTAAAAATACTTCTAAAATGCGATATTTAAATACAGATATATAATTTAATATTGTGATGAATGTCAAATACAGCACATTATGTAACAAAATAACCTTAATTGTCTCAGATACTATGTGGTGTCTATCAGGGCTTTCGTGTTGAAGGGTTGCAGAACCACAGACTTAATTCCCTTCCCCCTTTCATTTTTACAGGTGAGGTTCAGAGGTGTTGTGACTTGCTTGTGGTTACAAAGCCTACTTTTTCCTGTGTTTTTTTTTTTTTTCATGTTCCGTAATGCTTCTACACTACAATAATAAACATATGGCAGTAAGGTGTACTATGGGGACTGGCCATAGAGCCTTTGTAGCAGTTTTTTATGTGATAATTACCTGCTCACATTTTTCTGTACACAGGTGCAATCAAAGTGGAGCCTGCATCCCCGCCTTATTATTCTGAAAAGACTCAGCTGTACAGTAAGCCTCATGAAGAGCCTTCCAACTCCCTCATGGCAATTGAATGCCGAGTATGTGGAGATAAAGCTTCTGGGTTCCACTATGGAGTTCATGCTTGTGAAGGATGCAAGGTAAAAAAAAAAAAAGAGAGAGAGAAAGAGAGAGATTTTTTTCAAAAAAATTTGCTGAAAATTTGCCTGTTCTTTCATTTCTTGTTGTGAACACATAGCAAGGAATTGAGATAAAACTTTTGTTGTTGTTGTTTTGGTAAAACCCATTCTTCAAATGATTTATTTGAAAACCTAAGAAAATTGGTAAAAGCAGAGCTGCTTTGCCTCACTTCCCTTTCTCCAAATTGGTCCTTGAGCCACGGATCTAGTTCATTGCTTGCATCTTGCAGGTTAAAAAAAAAAAAAAAAGTGACTTATTCAATGTGTCATGGCAAAGACATGAGCTGGCCCAGAATCCATACTTTTTTAATCCTCCAGTTTTGTTTTTGTTTTTGTTTTCTCACTATTCCATGTGTTACTTTGTTTTTATAAGGCTTGACAGATTAGATAAATAGATACTTCATTTGATGCCTAGAACAGCCCTGTGAGGTTGAGCTTCTTGATGGCCACTTGACAGATGTAGAAATTATGAATTAGTGAAACTCGCCATGGTCTTCCATTAGTAAGTGGCAGAACTAGGACCGGAACATGCATCTTATGATTCCTAAGCCAGTGCTCTGTGTATTCTTATTTCAGCATCAGTTTGAGACATGTATTATGGACAGGCAGAGGGATATAACTATTCTGGAAGGGAGATACTATTTGTCCTCCATTCTTTGTGAAAAGTGTATTTTTGAAAGCTCAAACATTTAGTAATATTCTGCCCAATTATTAAGAAATTTTTAATCCATTCATATTTTAATAGGTAGTCTTTTAAAATAATTAATTTTAATATACTCAGTGAATCAATAGTATTTATTATATACTCCAAGACTCAGAATAAATTGTTCATAAATATTTACCGTATAAAATACTGCCTATATAAGATCAGATTCGATCCTCAGTTGAGCTTTTTATTCAGAATAAAGATATACAACACCAGTTAGGTAGGTGTTGGAACATCTAGAGTCTGAAATTAATATTTATTGATTTCTACTATGTACCAGATATTGTGCAAGATGCTTTAGCATATATCATTTTTAAACTATATTCTGCCTAAGTTTTTGCATCTATAAAATGATGGGGTTGAATTTGATAATCTCTAGAATCTCTTCAAATAGTGTATTACTAAAGGCAACTTAATAAAGTGAAAAGAGACAAGCTAGTAGTCACCTAGCCACTTGCCCAGAGTTACTAGCCAATCACATAAACACTTCGGCCCTCCATCACCTCATGCGTAAAATGACTTGGTTGGATTAGCAGCTGTCCAAGGTCTAATTCATTTTCAAGGTCTAAAATTCCAAAATGAGTTTTTGAAATACCATTGGCAAGAGACACTTTCATTTAAAACACTAAAACCTATTCACTGTGTGATTAAAACCAAACTAAAATATCTGTGATCTCTGAAATCATTATGTATAGCCAGTTATTTAAGATTCCAATGAGTTGTGAGAACATGCTGTTTTATTGTGTTAGATTTACATAATTTTTGAGTAAATTGTTGCTAAATTCTGAGAAATACCTGAACAAACCATTCCGTTTGGTCATCTTGGTAATCTATGTTGATAAGCAAAACAGTGTGATGGCTAAGTTTCCACAGTGCATTATTGTTTTTTATGGGCTGGTGAAACACTTAGAAAACTAGAACATTTAAGCAAATAGTTCTGCCATGATTCTGTTAGTCAGATATTTGTGGGGAGTTAACATTACTGATAACAGCTAAAACTTGAAAAGACAATAGCTGATTATAGTAATAAAAGCTAAGTTCTGAGGGCACAAAAACTTAGAAAATAAAAGCGAGCAAAGAAGAAAAATAGCAAGAAGGAGAAGAAGAAGGACATAGTCCAAATGCCATCAAGTTAGAAACAGAAAGGGTGCTGAGGCAGAGATGGAGAGTGAACATTTAATCAGATCTCAAGAATACCCTGGATTACAGACTTCCAGGACTAAAATGCAAGGAAGGTTGCACTGACCTTAGAAGGGGAAATAGACATCTACTCATTTTAAAGATAAGAATAAGAAAAATGTTAGTGGAATAATATAATTTGGCTTCTCCAAGTATAAGTCAGCAGTTCTCAAAATGTGGTCTAGAAGCCTCTAGGGGTCCCTAAGACCTTTCCAAGGCATCCATGATGTTGAAACTATTTTTATAATAATATTCAGTTGTCATTTACCATTTTCACTCTTTCTCTCAGAAGTGTCCGTGGAGTGTTCCAGAAACTACATGACATGGATGGTAACATAGTTTGGTGGCTCATGGAATGTTTGCTTGTTAGGTCCTTGTACATAACAATCTCTCAGTTTTAATTTCTAGTCTGATAAGTGTCAGTAGATACAGCCCACATAAACCAAAACTCATGGGGTTCTCAATAATTTTTAAGAGAGTAAAAGAGTCCTGAGACCAGAAAGTTTGAGAACTGCTGTTATAAGAGATTGAGGGATTGCTACTTTGGAACTAAACAAAATTGTCGCCACAGTCTGAATGCAGCTAATTTAGACCAGTGGCTACCAGCAATCAAAGATATCTTCTTAGCTTATTGACAGTACTCAATAAAAAGCCAGGAAAGTGAAATTAACAAGTGTTTGACTCATATGTATTTTCTAAAGGGTGCCTTGGCTGTTTAACATCTGCCATTTTGGTAGGATGTAGGATATGCCCATAATTAAAATACAGTTAACCATCAACCTGCATACTAAATGATGGATTGAAAAGAATAGTTACAATATTGCTTATGATAGCTGTTAGTTAGTAGGTCTTCTGGAACAGTTTTACAGTGCACATGGAACAGGTTTATATTAGTGATTCTTGCCAAAAATCAAACAGGAATAAAAAGATTAGGCTTGGATTAAAGTGGAATAGCGACAGATTCTTGGGTCATTAATATTGCAGACTTAGGTAAAATATAACCTTTGGCTCCTGAATAATACATCCACCTTAGAGCTTGCAAAGCTGTCACTTACTGCTTACAAATTGGACACTTAATCATTTTCTAGAAGGTTTCATCTTATTTTTGTATCTTTAGTGAAAGATCATTTTAGAACCATAGACTTACCTAAAGATATAAGTACAATCTACTATATAATACAGTGTAATCTGTTTTTGTAGTTCTTTGAAGGGCCCTAAGTCAGGAAGGGTTTTTAGTATATTCATACCTGCCATGGGAGCTCATGAATTGAGCTTCTCTGGGCCATACCACTTCATAAGAAAGCCAAACACAGGACCAGCACAAGACTTTTAATCTCACCATAAAATTAACTAGGGTCTCATTGCACCTAAGTTAAAAGTTTTGTTAAAAGTAAAGCAATTAAGGAGAAGTTGGAGAAAAATTTTTATAAGGCAAAAGCAAAAAAGCAGCCATCACCTTCTCACAAATATGACGACTTTGGAATAAATCTATAGCAAAAAAAAAAAATTTTTTTTCTGCCATGGTGATTCATGCATTTCCATCACACCAGTTCACAGACTTTGTGGTCATCAAAAGACTAAATTGTTGAAATTGCACATAGTTTTATGGACTCTAAAATAATAAGTAAGAGTGTTGTTAAAGAGTGTTTTCTTGATCAGCAACATGAAGAAACCTCAGGGAAGCCTGCTTCATTCTTCAAATCAATAAATAACTGTACAGAAAAGCACTCTAAGAGCCTTATATCTTCCTCACTAGGTTTCTTGAAATAAAGTATAAGAATACAGTTGGCTATCATGAACTAGGTGTTTTGAAAAAGAAAAGTAAAAGCAACTTCAAAGCTGTGTGCTGAAGTGTGTATATATTCAGTTTGTGATTTTATGTACATATGCAGTACATAAATAATATCCAGAATTATTTTCCTTTAACATTGAAAGACCCTGAGTCATCATAAAAAATAATATGAAACACTTTGAAAGATGTCGTATGAGTCAAAACAAAACTGCATTGTAAGGGTTAAACTTAAATAACATAATTCTCTCATCAAAAACCCTTCCTCTCCAGCTATGCCAAATAACTGACTACTCTGGGACCTGCCCCATTCTCAGCTAGCCAAGCAGCATTTTCCACCATGGAGATCAGTTTTTAGAAGTGAAAATTTTAAAAAGCAGTCAAAGAACATCATAAAACATATATGATCACAATGGCAAAAATCAAAACAAAATTTCCCACCAGGATTTATCAGTGAGAATAGTTCTGTACATGAGCCTTCTATTAGTAAGTGGAAAAAAAAATACCTTTTTAATATCCAGAGGTCCTCAGAACACTTTGAGAATTAAGGAGGTTTCAAGTTCCAGCAGATCCTCTGTAGGACCTAATCTATGAGATATTGCTGATCTCACAAGGGTAGGGAGAACTTCTCCCGAACAACCAACAATAGCAACACAAACAAACAAACAAAAACTCTAGGTCTTGACCTGTGGGCTGCAGACACACTTACTGAGGCAGGGTTTCTCTCGTGGCAGATGCCCAAAGGAGTCCTGAGGTGCGGCACTGCCCCAGAGAGAGACACCTAGAACAGTATCCAGAGCCATCAACGAGGGGGAGCTGAGTCTAGGGCTTTTAAATTCAGTCAGCCGTCTCAAGGGAATTTGAAATAGTCACAAGTCACTGGCACCTCCGGCTTCCTAGAGTAGCATCTGCAAATTCTTTTTGGAGGAAAGAATTTCCAATTTAGATCCGATAGGATTCCCACAGTTGAAGGTCAATATATGAGTTTAAAATAAAATATCAGTCAGTGAGCACATTAAGAAGTCAATCAACTTGAATGACACTTATCAAAAATAAGCAAAAACAGATTTAGACCCCTCTACCCCTATACAAGGAGAGCAGGTAATTGGGATTGCCTGATAGAGAATATAAAACAGGTGTGTATGAACTGTTTCAAGAAAGAGGGCAGAATCACAGCAATGAACCAGCAACAACAGACTACTAGGAATGACCAGGCATATTTGAAAATAAATCAATTTATTTAGTGAAGTGAAACTTAAACAGTGAAAAATATAATTATTGAAATAAAAATTCAGTGAAAATAGCTGTTGGACCTAGCAGAAGAAAGGACTACTGAACTGGAAGGTACATGTAAAGAAATTACTGAAATGGAGAATCACGGTGCCTTAAGAATACGTCCTGTCCAGAATCTGCTAGACTTTGAAGCCTCTTAGTTCTTGAAGGATTCATAGGATCTTTGAGTATTAGAAAAGTGTGTCTTCTTCATGAATCAATAGAAGAGTAATGTACAGAACTATTCTCACTGATGAAATTTGGTGAGAAATATTTCCCTTTTTTTCCTCACTGTAATTATGTAGCTTTTGTGATCTTATTTGACTGTTGTTTTGATGTTTACTTTTGCAATCAATGTTAGTGAGTAATTGATGACAAAAAGATGGAAAATGTAAAGAAGTTCAGAAATATTGAAGGCTAGAATAAGGTCTAACACTTCTCTAATTCATGTCAGAACTTGACAAGTGAAACCATGATGCAGAAAACACGTCCAAGAGAATAAATCAGAAGAAGTCCATTCTGAGACGAGCTGCAGTAAAACTGCAGAACACTGAAAACTAAGAGAGTGTATAAAAGCAACCAAAGAGAAAAGAAAAAAAAAAAAAAAAACACTTCAAAGTCAATTGACAGTAGACCTCTCCACAGCAACAGTGGAAGCACAAAGATCATGGGATCCGAAGGGAGATAGAAGATAACGGAGTTCTCTGTAATCTTTCAACAGTGAGAGAGAAATGAAACTGTTTACAGGCTCGAAAAAACCGAGAGACTGAAATAGTAAATTTCAAGGATAGTTAAACCATAGAGAGCAGAAGATATTTGCAGCACCTGGAACAGACAACAGATTAGTGTCAAGAATATATAAAGAAATTTCTAATATTCAGTTTTAAGGAAGATACAATTGGACAATAGGAAATGAAAAATCAGGAAAATACAAATTAAGATCACACTTAGATTCTATTGTACACATACTGCATTATCAAGAATTAAGAAGTCTGACAAATACCAATTGTTAGAGGGAATGTATATTGATAAAATCACTCTGGAAAACAGTTTGGCATGACCTTGTAAAATTTCACATTCACTTATTGTACAATCCAAAAAAACTCCACTCCTAGGAAACTCTTGTACATGTGCATCATAAAACATTTACAAGAATATTTATCGAAGCACTGTTCATAATAGCAAAATATTGGCAATAACTTAAACATCCATCAACATGAGAAGATATCAATAAATTGTGGAATAGATATACGGTAGAATATTATGAAATTGTGAAAATGAAGAGATCCTAGCTTTTCACAAGAAAGTAGATAAATTTTAGAAACCTAATACTAAATTTAAAAAAAAAATGAAAATCCCAAAATACTATATGAAGTATCATACCATTTATTTTTTTTTTAAGATTTTATTTATTTATTTGACAGAGACACAGCAAGAGAGGGAACACAAGCAGGGGGAGTGGGAGAGGGAGAAGCAGGCCTGCCAAGCAGGGAGCCCAATGTGGGGCTCGATGCGGGGCTCAATCCCAGGACCCTGGGATCAAGACCTGAGCTGAAGACAGACGCTTAGCGACTGAGCCACCCAGGCTCCCCATATCATACCATTTAATAAAGCCCCCAAACAAGCATAACTGATCAGTGTATTATTCAGTTTTTACCAATAGTGTGATAAAACTGTATTTTCTTAAAAGTCAAGAAAACAATAAACACAAAATTGAGAATAATGATTACTTTGTCAAGGGGACACAGAAGGCAGGATTTGGATAGAGGAAGAATTTCCAGTCATGATTTTAAATCTTGGCAATGGGCTTATGTGTGATAATTATCTTATGTTTTATAATTACATGTATTTTTTACATGTTTGTAATTAATATTACATTTAATAAGATAACAGAAAAGGAAGAGAGTATGCCAATGGCCTTGTGGTATCTCAGTCATGGTTTAGGGTAGAAAAATATCAGAGATGGCCCAGAAAGGAAGTTAAGTGACGTACATCTTCATTCAACAGATTTTAATAGAAGACTACTGTTGGTATTTGGGTCATATCCAGTGGTTCCCCATGGAGCTCACAATTTTAATTGGGCAGGGGGGGAAGGGCAGAAAACAAGCACTTAAATATAATAAGTAAATTATATGGTATGTTAGAAAGTCCTAAGTGCTATTGGGGAAAAAAAAAAAAGAAAAACTCTAGAGTAGAGTGAAGGAGACCAGGAGGTCTAGTTGAGAGGTGGGGGCAAGGACAGGCCACAGTATTAAATAAGGGCGTATAAGCCTCACTGAGAAGTTGAGATGTTGGCAAGACTTGAAGGCAGTGAGGAGAATAAGTAGGTGTATATTTAGAGGAAGAGCCTTCCACGTGAGAGAAGGAAGTCAGGAGTGACTTCAAGGAGGTTGGCTTGAAAAAAAAGTTTGGCTTGAGAGACTCAGAGGGTGGTTGTACCACCTGAGATGGTGAAAGCTGCCAGTGAAATGAGTTTGCAGGGGTACGATCCAGAGTTTCAATGTTGGACGTGCTGGGTTTGAGGTAGCTGTTAGATTTCCAAGTGACGTGTCAAGTAAGCAGTAGAAATACTTGTCTAGAATTCAAGATACAAATGTGGAGAAAGTGAAAATGCAAGTCAGTGGCAGAACCAATACTAGTTCAGGGATTTTTGTACCAAACAGGGCCAGATAACATTTGAAAGAGTTAAGAATTGAGTTTCATGGAGATGAGCACAGTGGAAATGAGTAAGAACACTTTGACAACAACAACAAAAAATGGAGTTAGCAAATATTTCCAATTAAAATTTCTTTCAGGTCTTTCAATAAAGTATAAATACAGCAGAATTCAATTAGCCTCAAATGAACCTATTTGCTATTTTGAGATGGCAGTCCATTGTCTGAGGATTTATATATTACTTCTCCTGTTCTTTCCTATTATCTTTTTTGTTGTTGTTGTAGGTTACAGCAGTTATGGAGCACTCTTTCAACTGCATAAGTAAATGAAACCAATTCTGTAGGAAATTATGCAACATAGAGAATTCTAAAAAATTATCCACATGTGGATTTTTATTGGCCCTGATCATGTTTTAGGATGAAGTGATTATAACTTTGCCAAATGGCTTAGCACAATAATAAAGGCTGGGGCATGCTGTTGGAATGATCTGCAGAGAGACTGAACTGATTACATGGTGTTTTATTTGCATTACATTAAATCCAGAGCACTTCTTAGAGCATGCTGAGATCCAAGTGTAGAGCCAAGATACATTGAATGACATCAGTTGGATATGGTCACTGTTTCAGAGCTAAAGAAGGACACTGGAGATCTTCTGGTTCTGTATGTTATAGCAAAGAAAACTGGCAGTTAAGTGGCTTGTCTGAAGTCACCAGTAACAAAGCCTACCTTTTCTGTTACCTAGGCCAGTGTGTCTTTAGACAAATGTTGCTGCTTCCATGTGTCATAAAGACCTAAGCTTTGCTTCTTTTTTCCATATCCTTTTGCAGGGTTTCTTCCGGAGGACAATCAGATTGAAGCTCATTTATGATAGGTGTGACCTTAACTGTCGGATCCACAAAAAAAGTAGAAATAAATGTCAGTACTGTCGGTTTCAGAAATGCCTTGCTGTGGGAATGTCTCACAATGGTAAGTGAACGCTTAGCATACATACTTCACTGTTCTCATTATGGCTGCCAGATCAGTGGCCTCTAGGGCCACTGCTGAAAATGTGCACAGTTTCCCACAAAATGCCAGATTTCAGAATAGTATATGCTGATAAAGCATTTCTCATTTTGGTCAGAGTCTAGGCTTTTAGTGTAGAATCCTTCTCTCTGTGGTTGGGCATCTGCCATGATGGGAGAAAAGACTTGAAAATATGAGAAATGATAGAAATAACTAGTATTTTAAAATGAATGTAATGATTGTGATTTTTTGTATTGCTTTAATAGCATTAAAAACAGAATTATGCTTGTGTGAATCAGTAGTTTCTTTATACTTTAAATGTAAGAAAATTCTGCAGGTTTCTGGGTATGGAACTTTAAATGGCGTATCAGAATTTAGAATATATCTTTTTTTCCCCTCTTTACTGTGCAAAGATAGTTATAGGCATAGCAGTATCCTTGACTTCGAGGAGCATGCAGACTTACGGATAAAGCAAAGAATTTTAAGATTCCACAAAACTTTAGTGTCCATAGAAACATAGAGAATAAAACTTTGTTTTTTAAAGCCATATCTAAAATCAAGGAGTGTCAACTTAAGAGAAAGAATGTAGATGACCTGAGAAGACCCTTGTTTTCATGAACTGTAGAACTAACTCAGTAAAATCACAGAACCTAGGCCTGTTTGAAGAAATAGTTCTGGATTTCCATTTAGCTCAGATTGGGGTTAACAAAGTCACAAAGCAAATTTGATAGTAACTTGATAGTTTTATATTTGTCAAGTATTAGTTTTTTGAAAACGCATTATGGGCTCAAGAAATATAAAATGCCAAAGTGATCAAATAAAATCTGAAGTCTCAGTTCACTGGATATCCTATTTTTTTTCTTTCTTTTGCCTTCACCTGTGTCAAAACTGATCTGGTGAGAGAATAATATTTGAAGTCAATCTTCATATGTTAGGACTCCAAAGCATCTGTGAAAATTAAAGTTTTATTCCATTGTGCAGATGTTTGGTTTTCACAGTGGACATCTTCAGAATATTTGAGAATCACTAATTGGTTGATATCCAACTCTTTAAAAATAGCTCGCAAAATTATAGTTTTATAATTTATATGGGTCATTTCCTCTAAAGGCAAGAATGTATTATGAAGAGATGTATCGGCTCTACTGGGCAGGATGGAGATTTGGTCTGACTTTCCTCACAATTGATTACATCTGCTGTGTAGCAGCATACAACTGCAGTCATTGATTGCAAAATAATTTACTGGTTTGATTCCATCAATTTCCTTTCTGTTTCAGACTTCATAAAGCATAAGGACACATTTTCAAGTCAAGGGTTATATTTTAGATGATGCAATCAAGTTGCAGTAAACTTATTTTATCTTTATGAAGAAATCTTTGACTTTGAAATCATTATTACTAAGACTGCCTAGAAAAGCATGCCATTTCTGCTTTTAATGGTATTTATTTTTTGCCCTTTAAAAATTTGTCACTTCACATAACATTTATTTCCTGTTGCTTGCACACATTCACATAAAATACTTCTCCTTTTGCTTATTGTTTATAGGCAAATAATATTTAAAGCCCAACAATCTATGTAGTATTGATGGTATAATTTTCTCTTCCCAGAAAAGTCAAAGAAAGCCCATAAACTTAATAATAAAGTCATCATTTGACTTCATATGACAATTACTTTATTCTATTTAGATAGAAGAGCAATCTTGATAGGGAGTGTTCAGTTAGTTCTTCTTGGAAAGACAAAAAAAAAGGAATTAAATGTCCTGGCATCAAAGACTTACGAAGTTCAACATTTACAAGATTGCAACTGTGACTAAGAAAATCCCTTCTAAGAGGTTTTTATGGGAATGTGTTTGCTACACAGAAAACATCCATTTGATCTGTGCACAAGAAGGGAAACATAACAGCGAGGTTTTGAGTAGTTTTGCCTGTTATCCTGAGAAGGGAAACATGTCCAAATACAAAGTTTTCTAAGAGGTTGTAGTAACTATTTAAAACTATTTTGTTAATTTATTAATGTTTTATGTGAATGGCCCTTACTGTAATAACCCACCCAACTTATCAAGAGCCTTCTACTGTTATACCAAAATCAGCACCTCGATGCTTTCAGTAGACACAGAAGAGATGAACGTCCTCCCAAAGTAATTTACTCCATTCTCTGTTACTGTTGTTTCTGCTCTTCGGTCTCCATTTAATCCATCTGATGCACGTAGCTTGTGCACTAGCCACCCACTCCCAGCCTTAAATGAGGCTTCTGAAGTAACCTTCAAGGAACCTTCAGGGCCCAGGGGAACATTGTTGAAAAATCACTGAAACAAGGATTGCTAAATCCTTTCAACTTCGAAAGTTCTATGAGTCTACATAACTCAAACAAACTACCTCCCTGATTTTTTCACTTTTCAACAAACTGGACCATATTTTATAGACATTGTTACCATTTTCTCCAATATGTAGGTATCTGGCATCTGTTGACTACCTGAATTTAAAAGTTTCCACCTGTATGTCTTGGTGCTGTAAAAATATAATCCATATGCCTGAATCAGGCCTTCTGGATGTTCTGAACAATTGCTCAATTGATGGTCACATAATGATGTAGCCTCAGAGTACAAATCCAAAGCAGTCAGGGCTGAAGAAAGTATAAATGGCTAATGGCATATGGTTCCATCTTCAGATGGAACTTTTGTTTTGTTTGTGATGTGTAGCCTAAACATCGTAGGACAGAAGGATTTCAGAATTCTTACACTTGGGAATCCAGTTGTTTCTCAGAGATCTATTTTCAGCATTGAGTAGGAAAAGCACCCAAGTGTTGGACTATGTGCTTTGTGCGCAAATTTTTTGTTTTTCTGTAGTGATCAAGATAAACACGTGTTGCAATTGTTTTGATCATTTAACATGCCATCATTTCTAGACCACAGGTCAGTTCCACTGATCGCTCCCCTGTCTTCCTGAGTCATGCTAAGCACAGTCAATTCAATACCCTGTCAGATATATTTAGAGGGAATCTCCAAATGAAAGTAAAGGAGAAATCAAGACCCAGCTTCCTGGCCTACCTAGAGGTACATGTGACTTACCACATGATCACAGCATCACCTGCTACTTGTTCATTTTGAATTAGTGAAGCTGTTATCTACAGAATCCTGATAAAAATACCCTCATAGATTAATGTAGTTTCTTCAGTCAAATGGGCCCTCACACACACTTTTGTATTTTTTCTTAGTATAATTTTTGTTTTAAAGTCCTGCTGTCAAGATCCCTGACATTAATCATATTTTTAAAATGTGTCTTCTTTATTTTTGATAAGATAATTTATTCACTAAGAACTTTGACTAGTGAATATTTTTGTCTTTGGAGCTGCTTTCCATGTATGAACTAAATAATAAAATTATAAGTGTAGGCTGTTCATTTTAAAAAAATAATGTGAGGTAGAGAAGAATTAACTTGTTACTTCTGAGTCACTCAGCTAGGTTTTCCCTGTGCCACTGAGATTTGAATGAAAATGATGCTTTTCATAAATATAAAAATTAGTGAAATCTTAGCTTTACTGATCAGGACATTCTATTATATAAAGACTGACAACTTTAAAAATAATCTCTCAGCAGCTTCATAAAAATCCAGAAAAATGGTTTCACAGATATTTGTGGCACTCAGCATTTTTTAAGGCAGTTCTCTCCTTCCTTGTAAAAAAGAAAAGCGTGAATTGCAAATAAGTTTAAACTCCAGTGTGTTAGGTTTTTTTCTTTAGTCTTCTTTGTAACATAAAGGAAAATTACCCAAATGTTAATTTTCAGAAAATTTCACCAAATAAAGAAGTCCCGACACATGGCAGCTGTGTGCTCAGACCAGCAGGCATTCATGGTTGCCCACGCTAGCCTCCACCTCCTTTTCCCACCACTGCCTTTTCCAACTTACACGTCGGGTAAACTGTGTACTTTGCCATGCCTGCACAGTGCTCTGTGGTGGAATAGCTCTGGGCCTCTGTTTATTATGTCTTTTGGTTCCCTGTCACAACTCTACCTGGCATTCAAGACCCAGCTGAAATGCCTTCTTCCGTAAGACTTCCTATTCCCCCCCGCCTTCCTCTTCTGTGTGTTTTATACCTTTCCTGTGAAACCACACTCTGCTTTCTAAAGCAAGGGAACGATCAGATCGATATTCCAAAAACTAAACTACTGACAACTGTGAAGAGGATAGAGAGAGAAATAGGGAAATTTGTCAGAGGACAAATGAAATATCATGCATTAAGACAGTGGGAAGGGTGAGTGAGGAGAAAGGAAATTGAGAAAAGTACCAGAGCATGACCAATGAATACAAGTGTCTGAGGGAAAGAGAGGTTGTCAGAAATTGTTCAGGGTGTCTAGTTGGGTGACAGGATGAATTAACCAAGAAAGGGAAACAGAATGAGGAGACAGTAGAGAGGGGAAAATCAAAAGTTCATTTTTAAAGTTGCATTTGAGGGTTTTACAGGATATCTAGCATCCATGTATAAAGGAATATAGAAACAAGAGAAAACTCAGAGTCCAAATCTCAGCAGTCATTAGCACATTTGGTGAGTCAGAGAGAAGATTGAACTAGGAACAACAGAAGGGAAGGAAGAGGGGCCATCAAAAAAAGGTCTGGAAAACAGGCAGAAAGATAGGAGAACCAGAAAAGCAGAAACCACTATGAGAACAAATTTAAAGTAAGAGAGTGGAGAAGGTCAACAGTAGCAAATGCTGGGAGAATGCTGGAGAGCTCAACAGAAACGAGAACTGCGAAGAGGCCCCTAGATCTGGCTGTCAGAAAAAACATAAGGGACTTTTAAGAGCAAAGTTTTGGAAATTTAAATGAGGTGTAGGCAAGATTGCAGTAGGTTGGGATGTAAATAGTGACAAACACAGGCGGAGAAGGAAGACTCCTCTTCCAGTAACTTCAGTGGTGGAGGAAAGATGGCCCAAGGAGGAGGTTATAACTAGGGTCAGAATCTTCAACCTC